TTTTTAAAAAAATAATTAGAATCACTTTTAACTTTTAGCACCACTCACAGGGAAGAAGTATCTGTTGTAATGAAGAGGTTGGTGGGCAGAAGTGACATTTTCTATACATTTCCATTGTTAAGAACACTCCTGCTGAAGTTAAGAAGTGTGATTGTGGAATTAGTGCGCTGAATATTCTGACTGGTTCTTTAAAACAGAACCCCAAAATTAACCTACAGTGCTAAGGGCTGTTGAAGAGATGAATAAAAAGTGGCTGCAAGCACCCCTTTTTAAATGCTAGAATTCTTCAGTGGCTATCAATTTCTAAGATTAGATTAAGTTTTCTTTATTTATTCTGTTTTGATAAATCATTAATTTTGAAGGCTGTTTTGTCAGAAACTTGGTTGTGTAATAGTGATCCTAAACATTTTTAAAACATAAGGATGGATGGATGAAAGAAGGGAGGAGATATGGAAAGTGGAGTGGAGGAAACAGGAAAGGAAGAAGGAAACAAAATGCAGCTTATGGTCAATCAGGTTCTGCACAGGCATCTAAATTAATGCTTAACTTATGGCTTAGAGCTCTTTCCTGTACATTCTAAATTGTATGAAGACTAGTTACCATTATTTAAGGATTTAAGCACATTTTTCATATATGAAAGGATACAGTCATTAAACATAACAATGGCTAATTATTTGGGGGCTGTTAAACAACTTTCATTTACCACTGCTTATGAAGACAGATTATTGAAACTCATATCTCCAAAGTTAGACTCTAGCCAAAACAGTAACAGGAATTTACAGGTACGTAAATGCACTGCCTTATTATCTAATTGTTTAACATTGTCTGTATTGATCCTTTACCATTAAATAAGCACCAATTTTCTAATCTAGAAAGAGAGAGAGTTTGGCTATAGGACACCATCTACAGGACTTAGCAATGTTTGCTCTACCTAAATACTCTCCCTTGGTTACCTGCATGGTTTACTGTATTGCTTCTCGTCTCTGCTCCAATGTTACTTCATCAGACACAGGCCCTACTAGCATTCCTTTATACCCCTTGCCCTGCTTTTTACCCCCTCTATAATATCTCGGAGTCCTGGTGTGGCGCTGTGGGTTAATGCGCCAGACTGCAAAGCCGGCAGTTCAAGCTTACCAATCGCTCTTTGAAAACCCTATACAGGGTCGCTATGGGTCAGAACTGACTTGATGGCACTTAACAGCAATATAATATTTCTTATCATTTGACATATTCTATGTTCAATTGCTTATTCATTTACTGAAGTGAATATCAACTGAAAGGGACAGGAGTTTTGCTTTGTTCATAACTTGGCCCACAGTAGTAACTAGTGGTGGTTGGGTGCCATGGAGCCAGCTTCCATGGAGCAGCTTTACAGGAGCAGAAAGCCTCATCTTTCTCTTGAGGGGTAACTAGTAGAGTCGAACTTCTGACTTTGTGGTTAGCAGCCCAGTTTATAATCCTCCACACTAACAGGGCTCCTTAGTAGGAGCTCCATAAATGTTTAGTGAGTGAATGCTCAGGTAGGACGATGAAAAAACCCATTCAGTGTTCTAAAAATCTCACCAACTCAAGACAAATGGGCTGTGGGAAAAGATTAGTCTTCTTCAATTCTGTCTTTGCTTTGGTCATGACTAAGAATGGCAACAGAAGGCATCTCATGTACTTTCCTTTTAAAGGTGTATGCTGGTCTGCCCAGGCTGTTTGGCAAATATTCTACACTGGATTTCCGCTCCAATCTATTCCTTAGGCTCCAACAGCTTAGCCTGCCTGAAGAAACAGTAACTTTTATATCTGTTACAGAAAGTTATGACCCTTCTCGTTTCAGAATTTGCTTGGCTCTTACCCAGAAGGTACTCTGAGAGCCTCTTAATCTCTTTAAGCTTTAGTTTCCTCATCCATCTAGCATACTGTTGTTTCTGATCTCTAAAGGGTACATCTAATTCTGCCATCCTAGAAATCCTTCCTCCTCTTCATTGTTTTACAGATGATGAAACTGAGGCCCACATTAGAAACATGTCTTACCCAAGGTCATTCAGCTGGTTAAACACAGACAGGATAGAGCTCAGGTTCAATGGATTGTCCACTACACATGTAACTTTAACTCCTATGGAGCTCAACCTTCTCATCTACAACACTCTTTGACTTTTGGGTCGCTGGTGAAACAAAAGTGCCCATGGGTCACGGAAGTAAATGGCAGCATTGAACTCTACAACTGGGTATGGAAAGGGGCCACAGAAGAAAAAAGACAAAACCTGAACACGAGCAGCCCCACTTAGGGTATTGTGCTGGTACTTGATTGCTAGCTTTGGAGAAACTACAAGCTACCATCAAGGAGGTAAATGATGCTACTTGTTTGTTGTGCATCATCCAGTTGGTCTGACTCTTAGTAATTCTGTATAGCGTTTCCTAGAGTAGTTGATGGTTTTGAACTGCCGACCTTGTGGTTAGCAGTCCAGTGCTTATCCTACAGCGCAACCCCATGGTCCTTTAGATGATACATATAAAATGGTTTGCATTTATATAGCTTTATTAAATACTCAAAACAAATTAAACTCAAGAAATAAAACTAGTGATAGACTTTCACAAGACTGAATTTGCATTCTAGGCTTTGAGAAAATATATGATTTTACAATGTATCTCCCTGCATCTTCTACACGCCTGCTCATGGCCAACATATATTGAATAACTTTCTTTCAGAACATATCCAAGGGCAGGAATGGAGGCAGAGAAAAGACTACATAAATCCTCCAGGTCACTGGGGCTCAATTCAGGCTCCTTCGTGGAGATGGACCACATGGGGTGCCCGTGAAGGCCCAAGGAGTCAGGAAAACTAATTCTAAAACTTCCAACTTATCCTTTGCCTATATTCAATGACTTTGGTATATCTGTTGTTAATTGTATTGAGAAGATTCTGACTCACAGCAACCCAAGTGTCCAAGGTACAAGTGGTCCCTTGGGTTTTGGGCGCTATAGGATAAGCACTAGACTACAAGATTAGCGGTTCAAATCTACCAGTGGCTACTTGGAAACCCTATGTAGGGTTGCTATGAGTCAGAATCGACTCAACAGCAATTAACAACAACAGCCTTTCAGAAGCAGATCATCGGGCTGGTCTTTCAAGGCACCTCCAGGTGGGTTTGAACTGCTAACCTTACATTTAGTAGTTGAGTATTTAACTACCTGTACAACCCAGCTGCCATTTCTGTTTATCTAGCCTTTTTTATTTTTATTTCACTTTATTCTTTTATAGAACCTAATTCCTAAATGGTGTTCAAAAAGAAATTTATGAAAATATGACACCAGAATTTCATTTTTTTCTGAATGAAACTTCTAAATGCCATTAATCAAGAAAGGATATTTATGAGCACAAATGTGTAGATAGAAGTGGAGATTTTTACAAGCCGTAGGAAACCTTCCTGTGGGCCTCAATCTATATATGTAGAAAACTGGTATAAAGGTTATGTTTTTCATGAAACTGTAGTAAGATTAGAAGAATTCTTGCTGAAATAATTAAAGGAGGTTTATAGTTTATACTACCTAGTCTTTATGGAGCTCTGGTAGCGTAGTGGTTATGAATCGGGCTGCGACCCTTAAGGTCAGCGGTTCGAAACTACCAGCTGCTCCGTGGAAGAAAGATCAGGCTTTCTACTTGCGTAAAGATTTACACCCTCGGAAACCCTGTACAGGGTCGCTATGGGTCGGAACCGACTCGACGGCACTTAACAACAACAACAACAGTCTTTATGGACGGAACCCTTGTGATAGGAGGCTAAGCACTCAGCTGTTAACCAAAAGGCTGGTGATTCAGACCTACCAGCATTTCTCCAGGAAGAAAGATGTGGCCGTTTGTTTCCATACAAATTTAGTCTTGGAAACCCTATGGGGTCATTCTACTCTGTCCTATAAGGTCGTCAGGAGCCATAAATAACTCAATGGCAATGGTTAGTTTTTAGTATTGTGGTTGTTAAGTGCTGTAGAGTCGATTCTGACCCATAGCGACCCTGTATAGGGTTTCCAAGGAGCAACTGGTGAGCTTGAACCACTGACCTTGCAGTTCAAATGACTTTGTTGTTATTAAGGGCTATTGAGTCGGTTCTGACTCACAGCAAACCTGTATTGGACTTCCGAGAAGTATCTGATAAGTCTGAATCACCCACCTTGCAGTTAGCAGTCCAGTGCTTATCCTACAGCACCACACCAGGACTCACATTGTTGTTGTTTTTGTTGTTGTTAAGTGCCATTGAATTGGTTCCGACTCATGGCAACCCTGTATGGGGTTTCTAAGAACCGCCGACCTTGAGGTTCAAACCAACCTTACAGTTGAGTGCTTACCCTATAGTATCACACCAGGACTCCAGGACTCATATTACATGGCAGTAATTGTAAAAATAATGATGATGACAATGGTGGTGGTGGTGACCCTGTGTAGGGTTTTCCAAGGCTGTAAATTTTTATGAGCGTAGAAAGCCTGGTCTTTCTCATAGTTTCGAACTACTGACAGTGAGGCTAGCAGCCTAACTCGTAACCACTACGCTACCAGAGCTCCTTAATGATGGCAATGTTGTTATGTGCCATGGAGTCGGTTCCAACTCACAGCGACCCTGTACAGCATTTCCGAGGCTGTAAATCTTTATGGGAGCAGAAAGCCTCATCTTTCTCCTGGGGAACAGCTTGTAGTTTTGAACTGCTGACTGTGAGATTAGCAGCCCAATTCGTAACCACTAATCTATCAGAGCTAATAATACCTAATATTTACTGAGCCCTTGACTAAGTGTGCCTATTATCTCATTTAGTCTTTACTGCACCCGCCTGTGAAGTAGGAGCTAGTTTTGTTTACAAACAGATGAAGAAGCACAGCGAAGTGAAGTACACTTGTCAAAAGTCCCAGGGGTAATAGTCTAGCTTTTAGGTCTGAGATGTAGACATTAGGGACATATCAGAAGGTTTCTTTTTCTCTGAGAGTTAGCTTTGGTGTTTCAATTAGGGCAAACCCGACATACCATTCTGAAGTCCTCTTCGAACTTGAAAGCCCCACCTCCGGTGGCACAGAGAGTAGTGTGAAGGCTGGAGAAGTTCTTCTCACTGCCCATCTGAATGAATCTGTGCATCGCAGAGCTGGGAAAGCGGATGAAGTGCAGGTTCCCTTTGCGCCCACTCATGGTCAGGTTCTTCAGTTCCAGGTGGACATCTCGGATCCCGGTTTTCCCATAAGCGGTATTAGAAGTCAAATACTTCCTGATGCTTTTCAGGTTCTCCACTTCCTCTTGTTCCTCTTCGGCTGTAATATCCTTGGGTTCAAAGTAGACCAACTTAACCAGTGTTCCACCGATATCCATGCCAAACCATGGGAATGCTAGAGGACAGAAAAAGAGTGCTATTGAATTCTACACATTCCGGACAGGGCATTTAGACCCCCATTCGGTGTTTGATTCCTGAACAGTAAATGAAGCTGTGTCATATCTATCCACATAGTTAACATTCACTTTGCTGGAATTTAACTACATGTGCCTACAAAACAACACAGACAGAGAGCAATTCACAATTTAAACAGCAACCATGACTCTCCACACTCTTCTCAATGGGCTTCTGCCCAGAGTTGAGTATGAGTAAGAAATGGGATTCTGCTGTTCCTTAAGCCAGTCTCAATTCCTATGCGCTTTGCAGAGCTGACTATCAACCCAAGCGCAGTAACAATTACAATATTTAAAGAGAGGTATATTGCATTCAAAATGCTTCCTAAAGAAACTGTGATCTGTTCCAATGCCAGAGAAAAAATTGGCTTTGCTGGGTGCACTGAGGGACTACACATGATGCTCTTCTGAGGAACTTTGAATGACCAGTTTTATAGTATTCAATTTTTGCTTCATGAACAGACTTTACAAACAGTGCCACCATGGTCTTAATCCACAGAAAAAAACAAACAGTAAGGAGAAGGAGAGAAGGTGGAGTGTGAGTTACGATGGGTAGACATGAAGATACACTCCTGGTGGCACAAATGCAAACAGAACAGCTCACGTTCATTCTTATTTCTTTCTGCATGAACAGAGACACTGTCTCCATCTAAAAGGTCTCCATGGGTTTAACCCTAGCTGTGCATTAGCTGGGCAGCTTTAACATGCCAAGTTCTGGTTTCTGGCTTAGTCAGAGGTTGTTGGTCTTATGTGCCGTGGAGTCGGTTCCAACTCATAGCAACCCTGTACAGGGTTTCCGAGGCTGTAAGTCTTTACGGAAGCAGAAAGCCTCATCTTTCTCCTGCGGAACAGCTGGTAGTTTCGAACTGCTGACCTTGCAGTTTGCAGCCCGATTCATAACCACTACGCTACCAGAGCTCCTACCAGAGTTAGAAGTAGGAGCCAGAAACCCGTATTTTCTAAAACTTCCTCAATGATTTCAAACTGCAGGCCTGGCAACAGTAAGTCAGAAGGACCATGGCTACTGCCCAGCAAACCAGCAGCTTGCTGACAAGGTCTGAAACAGGAAGGCAAGCCTCAGGTAAATGAAAAACATCCATTTAAACAGTTTGAGGTAGTTTTCTATCCCATGATGAATCTCATAGTAATGACTTTTATTATTATTATTATTATTATTATTATTATTACGGCAACAGGATGAGCTGTCAAATGCTCTGAACATGAACACAGAGTAAACCCAAATGGGAACCCAAATGTCGGAATTTCCCTGTTTGTTTCCCACGATTGAATCCATTGGCTGAGTCTGAAACTGTAATCGTAAAAAAGAGTTTAAAGATTCAGAGATCAAGTTGCTTCTTTAAAAGGCTTCTGTTTAATTCATCCCTAAAGACCATCCTGGCTACCACTACCAACTGATCTGAAAGGGATCACATTAGAAGGTTCTGGATAAAATGGGAGACACTGTGGAACAAAAACTCAAAATTATAAAAAAGGTCAGGCCTAGTGGTCAGAAAGACAATGGAAGAACCTGAGTCCTTGGCCCTCATCAACCCTTCAACCCATCAACCTGTGTGGAATGGAACTCACCCATGTGGAACAATTTTCAACCAAGTGGTGAACAGGAATATACGGGGACAACGCCAGTGAGGTATGTTCACCATGGAATGGTCAACCATTTAAGGTCAAATGGGCAGTATTTACCTGGGGACAAGGTTCAGAGGGGTGGGGGAGGAGAGAGGAATGGAACTAGGAACCACAGGGAGGCAGAGGGATAATTGTTGCATGAAGGGATTGCAATCATCAAGATGAAACAAAGTGTGTGATTTGTTTACTGTAAAACTGATGATCTTGTTTGTAAACCTATACTCAATTAACAATAAAAAGTTTCAAAAGAAACAAAACAATAAACACCATCCATCCCTGGGTGGTGCAAATGATTAATATACTGTACTCACTGCTAACCAAAAGTATGGAGGCTGCAATCCAACCGGAAGCACCTCAGAAGAAATACCTGGTAATCTACTTTCAAAAAAGCTGCCACTGAAAACCTTATGGAACTCAGTTCTACTTGGAAACGCATGGGGTCACCATGTGTCAAAACTGACTCAACAGAAACTGGTTTTGGTTTTTTGGAAAGACCATCCAAATGAACCCTTGTCTAATTGCGTATTTACACCTAGAGATTACATCATTACGAACACAAGAATATTACTTGAGCCTACAGAAGTTCTTTTTTTTTAAGGTACCCCATACTACTTGGAGCCCTAGTTTGGTGCTGTAGGATAAGTACTGGACTGGTAACCATAAGGTCAGCAGTTCAAACCTACCAGCTGCTCTCAGAAATTCTATACAGGAGCACTATGAATTGGAACCAACTCCATGGCACACAACTTGAGAGCAAGTGGCTCTGTAGGATAAGTACTGGACTGCTAACTATAGGATTGGAGATTCAAGTCCACCAGTTGCTCTAAGAGAGAAAAATGAGGCTTTCTGCTTCCGCAAAGATTTACAGCCTCGGAAACTCTATACAAGTTGAGTCAGAACCAATTAGATGGTGCTTAACAACATACTACTTATTTGTCTGTATCAGTATGCTGGGGAGAGTGGAAGGAGAAACACATGGCAGAAAACGATCCCCGAAACTAAAATTCTCTCCCCTGCTTCATTGTTGTCTTTTTAGTTGTAATCCAAGCCAACTGCTCCATACAGAAAAATATAATCCCAAGCCACCAAAAGATTAAGAGCAATGTATTATTGATAAGAATGAATGTGCTATTATCTTTGCAGGAGTTTGCAAACCAAATCCCACACAGCCCAGTGTAGACTGGGAAGCTTGCTTGTCCCAGTAGGAGCTCAGAGAAGACTGGAAACAGTTCATCCCTACTAGTCACAGATGAAGTTTCTTGACCCATTCTTTAACAGTCAGTGTCAGCATGGCCCACAGCACAGGATCACACCATGTGATGGGCAAAGCCCTCAATCAGGATTCAGAAGGACTGCTTTCCAGTGGCAGTGACCAGTAACCAGCTCACTCTGAGTCCCATCACTCCCTGTCTCCATCTATCTCCTCAGCTGTGAAAGAAGTGGAGTTCATTAGAGTGATGTCTAGTTCCCTCCCAGTTCTAAACTGGCTGGCCAGAGCCCTAGTTATAAACCCATGGAAATACTCCGCGGCATGTCATTGGTCACCAGTGCTAGGCAATCAATGTTACCTAAAACCCATTCTTATCAAAATAGGAAAGGCACCTACTGTTGGACAGAATGGAAGAAGGGTATTCAAGGCACTGCTGAGATAATTATTTTGGAAAAATTCTGGCAACATATATTAAAATGGAAAGCACACAACATTTAGAATCCTGCTAAGCCCTCTCCTGGACCACATAAACAAAAGGACCAATATTCAAGAGTAGGTACAAGAATGTCCACTGTGGCACCCTTTGGATTCAAATTAAAAGCAAAAACAAATGAAAACTAAGTATGTGCCCATCATACTTTGGAATAAGGTGTTTGACTTCCAAATCATGGAATATTCTGCCTTCACCACCAGTTACCATGAAGTCAATTCTGACTCAAGGCGACCCTATATACCACTAGGTAGCCATTTAGATAAAACTTTCAGTACACACAAAAATTAAAAATAAAATAAAAAGGAATTCAGCACAGAATGGATGGAGACACAGAAAAATAAAGAAGTTCTACATCAGAAATCTCGTATTCCTCCAGCCACAGCTATTCCCTCTGAGAAGAGAGAATCCCATGCATTCTTTAATTTGGCTGGATACTGGTAAACAGAAAAAGGAAAAAGAGGTCTCATTTAAAAATAACACTGCAGGAGACATCAAACCATTTCATAAGTTATTTAAAAACCTGTATGTTTCTACTTGTTTCTCCTACTCACATTTCAGCTGTTTCCAAAGCTTTTGCTGGCAACTCAAAACAGAGGGGAAAAAAACGTAGAGTTCTGAAAAACTCAATCCGTTAAATATTTTATCAGTAGCTTTGGTTAAGAAGCTCTTATGATAATGCAGTGGGTTAAGCTAACCGAAATGTCCATGGTTTGACTACACCAGCCACTCCACTGGAGAAAGATGAGGCAGTCTACCTACACAAAGATTTACAGCCTTGGGAACCCTATGGAGAAGTTCTACTCTGTCCTGTGTTGTCGGAATCAACTCAGAGGTAGTTAGCTGATTAAGATAACAAGGAGATAAATATTGGAAACCCTATACAGGATCGCTCTGAGTTGGTATCGACTCAACGACACTTAACAGCATTTTTCAGTACACTGTCAGTCTTATCCGTGTTCCTGATCTAAGCATCTACATATACTTAAATTTCTCTTACAGGAGCTGTGGATGCAGCTAGACCAAAGGGGAAAGGCAGAGTATGCAACTGCGGCTATCATCCGTGACTCTTAAATCCAGGAAATTCAGATGCTTTGATAAATCCAGCTGAACAAATGCTAAAACATGCTGGTGTGGCGCTGTAGGATAAGCACTGGACTGTGCTAACTGCAAGGTTGGAAGTTCAAACCCACTAGCACGCCTTGGGAACCTTATACAGGGTTGCTATGAATTGGAATCAACTCAATGGCACTTAACAACAACTGCTAAAAAGTTTGCCAAGAGAAGCAGTTTTGGATAAAAAATATTTGTATGCATTCCTTATTCATTCTTCTTAAACTAGCTATCATTTAAAAATAATTTTATAGAATATTCATCAAAGATGTTCAGTGTGAGTCCAGGTCCAAACTGCACAAAAAAACTTCAACAAACAAATAAACTACTCATTCAAAATGGTTTCCACCATGGTGAGGTGTGCCTAGACTAGAAACTAACATTTTACAGGTCCATCTTCTCTTGGCATATCACAAAAACTAAAACAAACTATTTCTTGAGAGCAATTCTTGCACATGTGCACTAAAAGACATATACAACGATGC